TTGACCCCCCCCCCTTTTGGGGCCCCCCCCCCCCCTCTTTTTTAGATAAAGTCATGTTTGGTATCAATTGAAATTTAAATTTTGATCTAAATCAAAGTTAATAATATATTTCCTAGATTCCTTAACTTCTAAAATTTTATGAAAGTTTACTAAAAATCGGACTTTAATCCCCACCAAACAAAGACAAAATCACAATAAATTTGAATTTTCTCTCTTTTTTATTGTTCTATTGTATTATCTTCCTCAAATCATTTACCAAAATCTTAACTCTTCTATTTTTTTAAAATTTGTTTATAATTTCTCTACAATTATCACATCTACTACAAATTTTCATTTTTCAATTAAATTTTCAACTAATTAGAACTTAAATTTGCATTTTCTTCTATCATATTTGTATATATACAATATAGCACGTGTTTAAACTGATTATATAAAATTTAACTTATATTTAACGAATTGTGTTTATTTGACTGATTATTAGATTGAATATTGAATATTTATTTTTTCTTTCAATTACTTGAATTGATTGTTTGTATCAAATACACAATTTTTTAAAATATAATTATGCATTTTTTTATGAGCAAAATATTAATAAAATTATTGTTCAAACTCAAATAGATGAAAATGATTAGCAAAATATTAATGAAGAAATATTTTTGAAATGTAAATCTACATTTTTTTTGGGTCAAATATGAATCATTCAAAAATAAAAAATAAAGTATTCGATGTGTACAAATTTTGATTGTGTCCCCTAACTCAATTTCTCTGCATCCGCCCCTGCACGTTACAACATGCTATTTATAGTTTCTATTTTTGTTCACGTTGCAACGCAGTTGAAAGGATTAGTATATGTTAATGATTTTTTTTTTATGCAACTTTGTGACTTCAAAAATATTATGGATTAAAATATGATAGATTTCTGTGTTGCTACAAATTAATTTTGTATTATACTTTGAAAATAAGTTTAACTTAAATATAAATTGCAAGAACTTGATATTATTCCATTTTATACATTGTTTGAGACGATAGTATCATGTTGCAACGATGAGCTTTAAGCATACATATTTTATGTTAGATGTCGTTCCTCGGTAAAAGAATTTTACAGCTACTTGGAAATTGAAAATTTGATATGTAATTAGCTATATCTCAAAAGATAGAAATTGCAGCATTTTTGGTTTAGTTTTTTGATACTTAAATTCTATTAATTTGGGAGGTTTTAAAGAAATTGTTAAGAAATATAGGTAGATGTTTATAAGGGTGAACATGGTTCAATTTAGACAATTTGTGACAAATTTTCAAATCAAATTATTTAAAGCAATTTGAAATTTTTTTCAAACCAAACCAAACCACTTTAATTGCTAAACTAAACCAATCCGATCCAAACCCTTTTTTTGGTTTGCTTAAGTTCAAAACCACGGTTTAACAAAATATAAAATAAAATAAAATCATAATCATAATCATAATCATAATCATAATGATAATCAAAAAATTAAATTATAAATATAAAAGTTCACGGTAAAATATAAATAATCATTAAAAATATATTACAAACCACCAAAGTTCTATAGTTTTAATAATTATAATGCAACAACATGATAGAAAAATTTTAATTTCTTAGTCGATACTAATTGGCATAATATCTATAATTATAGCACATGATTCATTCCCTCCATTAAAATAAGGATATGGCACATAAATTCATAGATTATATTTAAATGATATAAAACAACTAATAAAAGAAAATGAATAGAAAATTATTGGTGGGAAGAAGAGAAATGTATGAGTTCAAATTACAATCTAGATTTAATTGTCTACTCAATTATAATGGGTGATTGATAAATATGATTCAACAACAATTGTTAAACACTTCATTCAATTTGAGAGTTTTGCATTCACTATTGTGATGACTGATAGGTATTTGTTTATGATTTAATTAATTAATTAATATGAATAATTGTTTATTTAGGTATTGGATTAAATTGGGTTATATTTAATATGGATGTATCATTTTAAGTGGAATGTGTTTAGTATTAATTGGGTTAGATAAAATTTAAATCAATTTATTTTCAACTTTTTAAAACAATTTGGCAGTTTGAAACAGTTTGAAATGACTAAAACCTAAACCAAATAACTTTGAAGCAATTTAGTTCGATTCAAAATCAAAATGATCCACGTACAAATGTCAATGAGTCGAGCTGAAACTTGAGGCTGGAGCTCGACTCGAGTAAAAATGGTTTGAGCTTTTTTGCTCGAGCAAAGTCGAGCTTTTGTTAGGCCAAAAAAATTAGGTCGATCGAGCTTTCAGTTTATTTTTTATTTTTTAATTCTTGAAAATTCTAACATATTTTTAAAGAATTTAAAATTTATGCAATTTATACAAATTATAAATTAAATAAAAGTTACATTCTTCTTCTTTATCTAGGCTTAGGACCGGCTACAATCAATATAGATGGAGTTAAAATTGTACACAAATAAAATATTTCGTGTACAAATTTTCTTGAATCAAATAAGTTTAAAAAATTACCTATTTTTTTAAATTAATTAATTTAAAAACTTGCAATATCCTTATGCTTGGATCTACTGCAACTCTTCGGTCATTATACTGTCAACTTGTTCTTGAATACATAAGTCCACATATTCACAGTCCTTCAAGCACATTAAAGCCTCCAATATGTATTTTTTTAGTTTTAATCGTTCTTCTGATAAAACTCAATCACCTAAACTAAATGCAGCCTTCAATGTCACTGTAGACACAGGAGGTGTTAGTAGATCACGTGCATTTTTTGATACAATTGAATATTACCTTTCGTTACACCTTCACCATGATAGAAGACTAACTTTTTGTAATTCTTTTGGTTATAACACATTACAAATGTCTACATACATATACTTAGTTAACTCTATGCACATATAATTAGCTAATTCAGAGGGAATTTCAATATTTTGTACCACTAACATTTATTGCTTTAGATATTGATGAACTAGAACTAAATGAGGTAACACTTCTATTGGTGTCCAAATAATTCCATAAATCATCTGAATTTGTTGAAATATTTTTTGAAAAAGAATTTTGGGAAGTAGAGCTGTTTTTACCTCCTTTTTCAACATAATAGTTTGCATTTCACATAACATACATTTTACATACACATGTGATAATTTCACATTTATGAAATTTGAAATCCTCTTTATAATAACTTTTGTGCCAGTTAAATTAAGTCGAGAGTCCATCACCGAAGTTAAAGAAATAAAGAGGGCAGTTCCTCGCAATATTTAATAAATTTTAACTCTATAGAGTAGCTACATCAACAAAAATTGGTAAACTCCTATATTTATGAAATAATTGTGAAATGTAGAAAAAAAAATGTTGAAAAACAATTGGTGTGGGGGTAATAAACACCATTACATTCCTTAGTAGTATCGAAAAAAGATTTTAAAACTTCCTTCACACAAAATGCAATAGACAATTTCCAATCTTTCAAATTATATTCGGGTCCGTATGTATGTTTATTATTTTAATAAAGTGAAATAACGTTAACATAATTTTCACATGAATGTAATATAAGATATGTAGAGTTCCATCTATGTGTTATATCACTAGCAAATTATTTTTCTTGTAAGTCATACTCTGCACACAAACTGTCAAATGTTTGCTTTCTTACTGGTCACACAGTAATTAAATTTATTGCTTGTCTAATTTTATTTAGATGCAATTTTTTATGTCTTAATCCATCTTTTACAATCAAATTGATAATGTGGCATACACAACATTGATAAAAATATATATATATGCTTCCAAATGCAGGGTTAAGATCATTAATAAATTAATCGATAACACATTTGT